TTAGATAAATTAAGCTCTTATATAATAAGATAATAATTATAACTCTCTTTTATTTATATTTTAGATATATAGAGAGAAGGTGTTTATTATATAAAGCTAGTATCTTACTATCTTTAGAGCTAATATCTTACTATTATAAAAGAGCTTATAGCTTTACTATATAATTCTAATATATAATTTAATACTTAAAATTACTATCTAAACTTAAACTATATTAAAGTATAGTTACCTCGCTATAGAAAAGAGCTATTATCTAACTACTATAATAAGAACTATAGCTAATACTCTACTATTCTAAATTACTTTATTATAAATTAAAAATTAAAAAGAGCTAGTATCTAACTACTAAATAGAGATATTAATTACTAACCTACTTAAATAGAGGTATTATTATATAAGAATAGTACTAAAACTCTTATATAAAAGAGAGTTAGATTATTATCTTTTATATTAGAGAAATAGAAATAGCTCTATAGAGAGATATACTTTCGAGATACTACTCTAAATTACTATAAGATCTACTTTCTAAAAAGAGATAGAAAATAGTCTAAGCTTAGAGTTTATAAGTAGAGTTATTACTTAAAGTCTCTTTTTAATTAACTTATCTATATTATAAAATATATATAATCTAATATAGAGCTTAGCTTCTTATATTTCTAGATTAAGCTATTTTAAAATAAGCTTTAGATTCTACTTATTAGAAGCTTAGCTATAAAGTATAAGCTTAAGCTTCTAACTAAATTACCTATAGATCTATATAGCTTAAAGTATATACAATTCTTATCTAGAGTCTCTTATTTTAAATAAAGCTTCTTGTACTCTTAGATTAAGCTATTTTAGAATAAGCTTTAGATTCTATCTATCTAGTACTTACGACCTAGAAGTAAGCTATCTTTACTATCTAACCTAGAGCTTATTTTAGATAAGGTTTCTTATATTCTATTAGATCTAGAGAGTACTTAGAGTTATCTTAAAAGATAATTTAGCTCTCTCTTATTTAGAGTTTAGCTATTATATATAAGCTTCTTAATTATCTATATTTCTACTTATCTTTAAATAATACTACTCTTCTTTAAGATACCTTATTTTTCTTATTTTAAGTCTAGTAATAGATACTTTATTTTCTCTATTATAGACCTTATTTTAAGCTATTATACCTCTTTTAGAGAATATATAGATAGTACTTTTATATTAAGATATAAGATAGCTACCTTAAAAGATATCTACCTTAGAGAGTATATTATAGTATAAGTAGAGTATATATATTTATAGTCTTAGAAGTACTTACTTAGCTTAGTACTCTCCTTAAATAGAGTCTTTAGCTCTTTTTATTAAAGAATAAGAGTTTCTTTCTAAATAATACTTATAGTATCTTTATAGTTTATATAATACTTTTAGAAATTAATAATATAATATATAAGAAGTAAATATATCTACTTTATATTATATATAACCTATATACTTAAGACTAAAGAAGACCAGCAACGCGAAATCCAACCGCATATGACTAAAGAAGACCAACCAGAAGTGATCGCTCCTGTCACCCCATCTTTCGTTCGCAGCCGCCTAGATCCTTTCCAGTTCGCTCTTTCTTGCATCGATTCAACAACATCCAGATGGTGCTCCTGGCCAACCCCAAGGATGTCTGCAAACCAAGGGTCTTCCTCTGGTCTCCAGCAAATTCGTAACCTCCGAGCTACCTTTTAGACTTTGCTCATGGGTGGTCAAACTTACGACTGCTGTTCTGCTTGGTTCCCAAAAATTGTACACTGGTACAAGACTCGTTGGTGCCTCGCTCGCGTCCCTTCTCCTTGTTGTCGGTGCCGGACTAAACTCCGGAGTTAGAGCAAAGAAAGCCGAAGCCAATCCTAGTATACGCCATCTCGTGCAGGCCCTCGCCCTCAGGGCTGTCAAAACTCGAAAGGTTCCTTGCTTTAAGGAGGTTGTTCGGGCTCAGATGACTCGGATGCTGCATGTCGGTACGTGTGTTTTTGGCTCCCAACCGAAAGGTACGTACATACATCCCAAAAACTTCTATAACCATAGTCTTACCATATGGTACAGCTTTGACTTCTCATCTTGTCCACTTACTGATGCCCTTGCTTGCTACGTCTTGGAGCAACGACCTCTCTCCCGAGGTCTCACTCAGCAAGACAAAAGACTGTATGGTAATATAAACCCTTTCTCAGGCGCAGGTATTCAAAGGGAGTAGAGGCACACAAAGGGCATTGCACATGTATATGTTCAACTGCGGACATAAATCTCAATCGTTGATGCGTTTGCCTTTAAGTCTATATTGTGCGATACCCAGGACCAGGGAAACCGAAAAGAGAATTTACAACAGCTAGATATCTTAACAATCAAGTGGCTTCCCCCCAGACTACTCCGAACTTCTTTAATTACCCGCGAACTCTTCTGACTGCACCTCCCATACCTTCTTGATCCTGATTTGATCTTCCCCCACATTTGTAATATCCACCTCCGATCGTACTGTAGCTTGACTCGCCGTCTCAGTACCACTGATATCGTTTTGTGTAGTATAAAGTTCTGTGAGAGGATACTGACTGGCGTGGATAAGTTCGAAGTTCTTCTTATCGAAATCCTTTGATCTGTCGCTGCCATCGCCATGAGGAGGTTGAGTAGATGATCTGGCAGTTTGAAATAGCCGTGATGTCGATCTTTTGCTGCTCAGTTCCCGGGCGTAAGTTATCAGCTGGCTTTGAGAAATCTTTGATGCCACCGGCTGCAACATTGGCAAACATGCATTAATTATGCCCAGTGTTGGCTCCAAAGTTGTCCACATAACATCCAGAACGACGTTGTAGGAGAGATCCTTGTAGTCCAGCTGCTTAACAGAGACAACTCGCAGGACAGAAATAATGCAAATGCTATGTGAAACACCCATGTCAGCTTTGCTTGACACGCTTTGATATACTTCGGTGGGCCCAACTTACAAAAAACCCATCCCAAATATGAACATCAGAGCGACCTTCCGTGACATAGCCAACTGAAGACCCCACAACAGAGGCATAGGAAGGGCGACGATGAATACGTCGATCAGCAAGTTGACGATAGCTGTGGAAAAATAGTAATCATTCAAAGCGTTTGCACCTCCACAAGTCCCATTCGGAATGTACTTGTTCCAGTTGTATGCCAAAGGACGGCATATTGTAAATGCTGTCACAATTGTCGCTACGCAGTAACTGACGGAAGCTCCTCTGAGCAGCCAAGCAGCAACATGCAGCTTGCGGTTAGGAAATGTCCTAGAGTAGAAGTCGAGGATAGAGAGCTTCACAAAGGTATTGGCAAGAGGCCACATGATTGTGGCCATGAAAAAGGTCTATTGTAGTTAGAAGACCAGTACCAGAGCTGGAGCTACGATCTCCACTTACCTTTCCTAGCACGATTCCCTCTTCTGGAGTTAACCTGGTAATGTGTTGACCCGCTCCTCCTATGATGATTGCTGTGCACCGAGTTAGAAAATGCTGCAAAAGTCTTTCGGGTACTGTTACAAGTCATTAAGTTGGCATCGTAGCCCCAAGCAAAAACCTGGACCAGTTGTCAGAGTTGAACGGTATGCAACGAGAATATTCGGAGACTAAATCTTACCAGAGCAATCACAATGAAGTAGTCGTTGAGATTGAGAGGTGTGTTCTTCATCCTCCGAGCCCATAGTCGCAGACCAACGAAGATAGGCGGCAGAATTGTGAAAATTACCGTCGCGGTAAGAATGTCAATGGGCCTGGATTTGCCTGGACTCGTTAGGGGTGCCATCTGAAAGCTCTTGGAATTTGCGGAAAAGCTAGAATGAGGAAAACTTAGGTAGATGAAGCTGTTCAATAAAAGTATTGGAATAAGATAGTAAATGCCTAAATTTTAATGATTCCTTCGAATCGGAGTGGATGTTTTATGATAGCAGGAGATATCTTGACTGAGGGAAGCCAAGTCAAAGGGGAGGCCATTCCTATCATTTTCGGCTACCCTGTCACAAGTGCACAGGAACAACTGTTTGTCAATTTCATGACCGGCTGCATGGAAGGAATATTTCTGCGCCACCAACAAGATCTGCACCTGTGTTGAGCTAGCGTTGAATTGAGTAACTGATTTAGTTTGCTTGAAAAGTTGGATTTGCCTTAAAGGATACCTAGGTACCTGCCTATGATGGATGATTATGGTCTCGCGTACTCAGTGGCTGTCAGCATAGCTGCAGACTGTGTTGGTGGCACGAGTAGCGTAGCATACCGATCTATGTAGTTTTCAGGTTGGCTGGACGGCGCGTAGCAGGCTTGAATTATTTTGCGTTGGGGTTATTCGTGCCTAAGTGACGCATAGATAACATCGACTCGAGTACCGTATCATGACCGGTAGTTTGACTATCGTGCCTCAACGACGGCCAACAACAAATTCTACACCGGCAAATGAATTATTGAGAACTGAGCTGACTGCAAGAAGGCCAACCTGCAGTGTCTGCTGGTAAATTACTTGCAACTTGCAGTGCATCCTGGCATGATTAAACCATGTATCTGAGTCTGCGGTGATTCCAGCTCAAGAGCTGCCGTCACGTCGCTGCTTGTGCTCATCCAGTTCTTGAAGAGTCTTTTGACTTTGGTTGGTCTATGGAATCGAGATCTGACTGCAGATTCCACATCTATTCATGGTTACATTTGAAAAGACCGCGACCGAGTTCGGATCAAAAATAGTAGAGGAGCCGAGATGGCACTACAGATGTTGGGACAAGTGAACTCCAAGTTCAAGAAGGCTGGAGGCATGCTCTGGTGTGGTAGGGTTAGAGTGTCATCTGAAATGCCAAATTCAACTATCACGCACGTCGCTATTTCTGTTTCAGAGACAGTAACATACCTCCGAAAAAAAACCACCATAGAGAGTGTATGGGTTCGACGGAGGAACAGTTCAGATTTAGAAATCATGAAATTGAGCAGTATTCCAAAAGGAGAAGCTGCCTAAGGGACTTCGGTGCCGCAATCTTTGCCACAAGCAAGTTAATCAAGCGGTTTTCTGCCAATAGTGACTACTCTCTCCAAATTGAACGCTGTATTTCCCCGGTTCCTTCCCACCTCCTCAATCAATGCCCTCGCAACATCTCCCTGACCACCTCCCAAGCCATCCAGAACATTGGCTGCAATCTCTTGGCTCGCCATTATCCAGGTATCTAGTAACAATGTGGCAATCTCTGTTGAGAACTTTTGCCGATCGACGATGACTTTCGAGACACCATTCTACTCGAATGTAGTATGAAGGCGGGTAATCCAGCTGCAAAATAACTTAGTCAGGACTTAGAAATAGATTGAAATTGTCAAAGCTCAACAATACATTAAGCCATGTAGGAGAAGGGCACAAATACGAACCCACTACTGATGAAACTTGGACCAGGTCTTGTTTTTCCCAGCGTAGAGGTGTACTCTTTGAGCTCTTCTAGCTCTCCGTTCGTTTGCGATGAAGCGGAAGGGGCGCGGATGACTTCCCATGTAGCAACGTCCCACTCACCCCAGGATATGTAGCCTCCTGGCTCTGAACACATCGTTATCAGTAACTTGATCCATGTTCAGACTCTCGTTTGTCTGGACTATGTGGCAGGTTCGTGAGCTGAGTGTCAGGCAGTAACTTACTAAGCATTTTGATCAAGTTCTTCAACATCGGTACAGGATTTCCATCTCGGATCAGCGTTATGAATAATTGCACATGGATCACATCATATTTCTCTCGCAGCTCTGCAGGAGGATCTGAAAAGATGTCCTGCGTGACCCATGTAATATTTTCGGCGAGCCACTCTTTTGGGGGACATTGTCCGAAGTTTATATCTATACCGTCAAGATGAACTGTATGGGGCAGTTCACGAGCTATCTCAATAAGCCAGATGCTGCATTGCCCTCGTCAGCCTGCTCTACTTAAGCCTGGGACTGATTCGCAAATATTGAACCGGGCTTGGACTTGCCCTGTCCCAACGCCAATCTCCGCGATCTTGAGATCTCTTGAGCTGGTGGGTATGCTAGGATGTAGAAGATAGTTTAGACCATCTTTCCACAGATAGTGTTGAAGCGTTGTTCTGAGTGTACACCGTAAGCTCCCTGAAAACTAAGGAATGTTGTTGCATGACTACAAACCTCGTGTTAGCAGAAAAGCCACGAGACAGCATGTAGCCAGGCTTAGCAGTGACTTTGCTGGCCATCTTGTACAGAACGAGAAATGAATGCAGAAGACGTAGAAGGCTGACTGAAGCTTTGGGGGAGTTGAAGGCAAGTTGGGTTGAGGTGTTCTGCCCACATGTGGCATCCGATGCCTACTTAAGGTGCATGATGAAATCAACGCCCTATTGATTTCTACTTCACAGATGCATGGCGTCAGACAAGGATTCCAGGAATTTAACCAATAATTTGTCGAAAATTGAGAATTACGCTTGCCCGCATCATCCCCTGGTCTGTCGTGCCATGTGCTCGGGGTAATGTCTTCACCGCTAGGATGGCTGCTTGTTCCCAGAGAAAGTAAGCCGGAAAGAGAGTATATTCATTGGGTAAGTCTAGGAGCTATCTGAGAATCATAGAGCCAAACAAATTGTACTGCAAGTATGATTGGTAACAAAAAATTCAAGCAAAGTAAAGTCCCAGTCGTCGCTTAAAATTTCTCTCCTGCGGCTCTTCTCAAAACATCTGCTGTCCACTCAGGATAGCTGATCATAAGACAATGTCCTCCATCTTTGTGATGTTCCACCACGTCAAAAGCAGTTGGTGTCATCATCTGAGCCCCTTTAATCATCATATCTACAACCTGAGGTGTGAAAGAGCTTTGATCAGTCCCACCGACAACAAAAGTGGATGGGATGTCAGTCCAAGCTGCGTAGGTTGCGGTGCTGGAATAGACGCCGAGACTCTGGGGTACTAGCTTAGAAGCAAGCTCATCTCCCTTCTCGGATGACAGATCATTATAGAAGATCTTCTTGGCATCCTCGACGGAGACATTGACAACATCGTTCTGGAAACAATATAAATTAGCAAATTGATATGGACAACGAGAACCAGGCTGCTGCGACAGAAGAAATCAAACCAAAGTAGAAGACATCCAGCAACAAAACGTAATTCGAAGATGCTATGTTTGCTTTCTGCTCTTACCTCTTGATCCAACTTCATCCACTCCGGGAACTGAGAGTAATCCCCTTTAGGGGTCGGTCTGAATCCTGAAGGGGTCGCAAATCCGTTGATTACGACGTATCGGATCACTCCCCCTTCCAATCCCTTTGCCTCACGGTCTGTTTTAGCAAAGCCTTTTGGGGCCTCGCCTCCAGGAAGACCAGTATACGAGTGAACGACGAGGATGACATCTTTGTTGTTTGAAACAAGTTCACTGATAGCGTCGCGAATGGCAGTGACATCGCCATCAAAGTCCTGGTGAGGAGGCGTGGCGCCGGCTGAAGGAAGAGGCAACAAGACAGTGGGATAACCATGTTTGTGAAGATATTCTGCAACAGCAGAGTAGATGTCGGCTTTGTGCCAAGCTCCAGGGACTAGTACAATAGTTGGTTTAGACATGATGCTAATTGAATGGATTTGGTGTCGGAGAAAAATTGAAAACTGATCAACAGAGAGGTTGGAAGTATGGTCGAGAACAGATGAGATGAGAAAAAGGTGTGGAAAGCTGGGAGTCAACAACTCTATAATAACCAACTTACTCTAACTCATCTGAGTGCATGTTGCATAATACTGCCTATAGCAACAAGTCCGATCCCGGCAAGTTGTGATGCTGAAGGTGGTGATCTCGGCATTTCGGAAACATTCGAATCAAACGTTTGAAATAATATATACATTCATGTAATATTACTGCACAAACCCAATAATGATAGACACAAGGTCTATCGACACACATTAGATTGCGTTACAATGGCTCCTTTCCCATACTTGGATATAGACATCTCGTGCGGCGTAGTGCATAGCGCACCTACGCCCGCCGGAGTAAGGCCCTTCATAGACAGTCACTACTCTCCTGCGCCCCGCCCCGCCTACCCTCCAACGTGCATAACAGGGTCTTGTTGACTTAATGTACTTTGTTTGCTCTATCGTTCGGTGATCTTTGAAGTGTAGGCATACCAGATAGGTAAATCAGGGATAATTCGTCATGCTTCATAAGCGAAAGTTGTATATCCAACACCAGATTTCTGGGCCTTCCAATCCCCCACGAAGCTGGACCAAATCATGACAGGTCTGGCATACATGCCGGTGAATTCCAAAAAGTGCCGATACGGTGGGACTGCTCATTCATTCATGAACGGACACCGGAGTCAATTCGAACGCTCTAGGATTGATATTCCGGCACTCATCCCACACACCGTTTCAACCTTCAAATTTTGAAAGAATTAGATCATTTCAGAAAAGATGAATTTTAAGGCTGATGAAGAGAAGATGCCATGTGTAACGCAAACAGAAGACGAGCTGGTAGTATCCGAGCCTGCGACAGTGGAAAACAGATATTTGTTGTCAAGAGGTTACTCGTCGAACATAAGGTTCAAAAGCCATCTTCGTATCACATCGCAAAGCTAATCTCAGATTACTAGGGTAAACACTCAGCACTATCTCTGGAAGGAAGGGCTGTACCTCCTCCATCCAAGCATCCCAATTAATGGAGAGAATCTAAGGGTGGCAGAGATAGGTGTTGGGACTGGGTTAGACACTCTTCTCCGCAAATTACAAGCTGAATGAATGGCAACTGAAACTCTCTTAGTATCTGGCTCTCCGAAATGGCTCGGATCCTCCCTGGTTCAGCACAATTAGATGGGTTCGACGTCAGTCATGCACAATGCCCGCCAAGCAAATTCCTTCCCTCAAACGTCTCTCTCTACATCCACAACTGTCTTGAGGATCCTCCAAGTGATTTGCTTGAACAATATGACATTATTCATATCCAAATGTTCAACTCGGTTGTCGAGAACAACGATCCCGAGCCTGTTGTCCGCAATATGGTGAAGATGCTCAGTAAGTGTTTCCATTCTTTCTGCTTGCAGGACAGCAAATCATAACATAACAAGAATATAGAGCCCGGAGGTTATATCTCTTGGAGTGAATTTGATTTTGCGACATGGAAAACCATTAGTAGCACAGGGGACAAGCCGAGCGACTCTCTAGACAGGCTTCTATGGTACAATGCAACGGCCGGCAACACGAAGCCAGTAAACTTTCTGGCTACACAGTAAGCCCCATTTCCAATTCATTATGCCGGAACGTATCTCATACCGAAACTTCAAGCATGGTTAAAAACTTACAACACTCCATAGCTGGCCTCTTGAGCTCCCTGAAATCTACGCTAGAAACAACCTCTCGGAAATAGTGACGGAGCGAGCACCGTTTGCCACAGATGTAGCAGCTTACATGCTTGACACTTTCTTGCTTGCCGCAGAAGAATTGAGCTTCAACGTACTGGATCATCTTGGGGGTGGCCAGGGTGATGTGGCCAGAGATTTGATTAAGCAGGTCGAAAGAGAGAGAAGAGACATCACTATTCAATTAGATAGATTGATTGCTGTTGGGAGAAGGTTAGATAGACCTGTCCCGCGGATCACATTCCAACACGCACGAAAGTCACACTGAACTGAAATGCATTTCCTATTTTCATGTGACCTGAAAGTCGGCTATTTTGAGATGGTACCCTCTTTTTAAAGCTCCTAAATTATAGCATACCCGGTAGGAAAGTTCCATCCAGAGCATAAACCATATACCAAGTCATAATACGGGTTGCACTACCTTGAACAAGGGATGCTGCAGGCAACGAAGTTCAAGATCATCACTGTAACATTTGGACATCATGAACGATTTCATTCCAATCTGAATGGTTTCTACGTATCTTGGGGGTTCAGTGTGAGGAGCTCGTGACTAGTCGAAGATAGCTAATTTAAATTGTGCGGATTTTGCTTCAATTCTCAAATAAAGAAAGCTCCTGGAGCCAAGGTAATAGAGATATGCTACCCAATGCTTCGTCTTCCCGTCACGGAACTTACGCTTTCCCTCCACGCAGCGTAAAAACCAGGTCTAATCTTCCAGGAGCCGCCGTAAATTGATCCTTCATATCTACCCAACAGCGTTCCCCGTCTTCCCCAGGTGCAAAAGTAATATCATACCGTGACACGAGCAGTGTAGTAACAAAGCGAAGCTCTGCGATCGCCAGGTCTTTTTCCACACATGTGTAACGTCCAATAGAGAACGGATTGAAGGCACGACGATCGAGGACCAGTTCTGGCTTGGAGTACCAGCGCTCTGGGACGAAATCATTTGGTCGCACAAAAGAAGTAGGTACTGTAGAGACTTATTAGGCCGTGTTTACTCACCTGACAATTTGACAATAATTGTTAAATTACTAGATTTAAGTATTAGGCTAGTAGGGGGTGATTTTTAGTCTATTCTTCTTTAGTATATAGGTAGGAACTTGTCTCTACGACGTATAGTAGCGCTAAGTCTAGTAAGGGTATAACCTTATCGTCGCCTCTCGTATGTTATAATTAAGATTTCTTTATTATTAAGACTTCTTTCTTATTAATTAGTTATTAAGTAACTATAGTACCTAAGAAGAAAGTAAATATAAATAAAGCCGCTCCTAGGAGGGTATCGAAAGCGGCGGTAGAGACTAGAACCCGTAAGCTGTCTAGGAAGGCGCTTAAGGTACTTAAGAATAAGGGTTATAATAAGGTCGAGGAACCTAGCTTAAATAATAAAGATACTATATAGTCTTATTACGATAACTCCTAACCTAGTCTTTATTTCTTTACCGAAAATTATCGCTCTCTTCTATCTAGTTCTACGCTATTACCTCTACCTAGATCTAATACTTAAGATCTAGAGCCTTAAGATACCTAGGAATTATCCGCTAAGAGCGATAATATCGTTTAGACTTAAGATATAGTTCTCGCTATATATACTACCTTATTAGACTATATTCGAAAGAGTAAGAAGCTAGATATTAGGTTTAAGCTAGAGACGTAGCGAGCGGTAGTACTTATAGTTAAGGAGGTATATTTAGGTTAAGGTATAGTTATAGCTCTTAAACTTAAGAGTAAGAAGAATATAGAGAGGTATTATTATCTTAATCTATAATAGATTAAGAACTAATCTAGATAGAGTTAGAACGATAAAAAGAACGTACCTAAGGTCGTAGATAGAGTCTAGAATAAGGCTTAAAAAGTAAGAGTTTTAAATAAAGATCTATCGCTTAATAATTAACTTATATACTTAATAGTTACCTTTACAGAAAAGAATTAAGTACTATAAGAAGAACTTATTTACGTACTATAATATATTAGATAAGATCTACGAGAATAGAATTATAACTAGAGCCTATATAATCTACTTCTCTTATTAAAATAGAGGTATAGATAACTCGAAATAATATCTCGATAAAGACTTTAATTTAGATAATCTCTTTCTTAATCTAGTACTCTATACTTTAACTAGACCTCCTACTATAGTTCCGGATCCTATACTATAACAAAATCGCGGTAGAGGACTTAATACTCTAGCTTCTATTAGTTTAAGAGTATAAGCGTCTAAAAAGAAGAAAGACTCTATTAATAAGAAATTCTTAGAGAAGTATACTTAAAACTAGATTCTAACTTATAAATACTAGGAGAGAGTTTTTACTTAAATATAGAAAACTAACGCTCTCTAAGTTAATCTTTAAATGTCCTCTATAGTAAAGGCTTTAAAGAAATTATAAGATAAATATAGCGATAGATTAAATATAGTCTAGATAATTAAAGCTATTAAGTTCTTAATAAATTCTAAGGTAGCTTAAGTATTTATATTATTAAGAGGCAAGATTTAATAACTTTAGTTATAATACTCTAGTAAGATATAGTTTCTTAATTAGTACTATATAATAATAGTAACACTATATAGTAACGCTTAGAGTTCTAGAATTGTCTATAATTTATAATTTAATAACTAGTAAAAAATAAAAACTAGTTATCTATAATAAAGATAAGATCTTCTTCTATTATCTTATTCTCTTTCTCTTTATTGTTACTAATTAGAACTAAAAGCTTATTGTCGGTATTCTCTATATTACTACTCTCTTCTTTATCTATATTATTATAATAGAGTAGACTTATTTTGAGTTATAGTTATTTCGTTCTAGGTTTATATATTAGCTTATTACTAGATAGCTTTAAAATATTATCTTCTTTACTTATTAAAAACTACCTCTTTTATTATCTTAGTTATTTGTATTTACTATATACTAGATTATATATATTCCCTTATTTATATTAGTAACCTATATAGAGAACACTTTAGTAATACTTATTTAATTATTATATTAAGAAGTTATAAAGTTTTATAAGTAAAGAATTTTATACTTATCTATTAATTAACCTCTTAATTTAAAGCTAAAGAGAGAGTATTTAAGAATAGCGAGACTTATTTAACTCTAAATAATCTAGTTTTAAGTAGCTTAAGAACTAGTAAGGTTAAGAGTAAAAGGGTAGTAGAGACTTATTTCGGTATACTAGATTAGAAACTTATACTTTCTAAAATAGCTAAGAGGGCTAATATTAGGCGGAAGAGGTAATTTCCGGAGGTTTTAGATTACTTAGCTACGTAATAGAAGCCCGGAGAGAATTATATATATAGCTAGTCGCCGCCTATATCTAACGAGTCCTCGGCGGCTAAGGGCTTTAGAAAAATAGAAATAACCTTAATTCGATAAACTAGTTTACTTCTTCTTAATCTAATACTTTTACTAATCTTAAACCTAAATAGAATTATCTATAACTTAATAAGCGTAAACCTAATAAGTAATTTATATAAAGAAATTAAGAGACTTAATAATATTACCTATAACGTCTTACTATCGCTACCTTTACTAATACTAAGAATGTCTATTCTAGAAGTTAGAGTCTATATAGTAAGTATATCCGATACTAGAGGCTCCTTAATAATAGTACCTACTATAGTAGTTACGCCGATTTTACGTATAGTATTACTAATACCTTAACTAGGAGCGAATAGGTTCTATATCTTTAATAGTATAAATATTACTACTTTTCTTAACTATTACAAAGACCTCTTTAATAATAATAGCTAAATAGACTAAGATAAGCTTAATCGGATTAACTACTACTATAATCTCGAGTACGGTTAAACGATTTAAAGTCTACTAGACTATATTTTAAAGGATTAAGAAGAATTAAAGAAGAATATAAAGTATAAGTTTAAGGGCTATAATACTATATAGATTATAAACTTAATTATATTCTTAGAAAAGCTAAAGAATAAGAAGCGGTAGATAGGACCGAATATAATAGTATATATTAGGTAATTTATAAGGATCTCGGGGATTTTAAAGAATAAATATATAATCGAGAAGTATACTAGGAGTCGTTAGTTCTTATAGAGCCTACCTAAACCGCTAAGAGTAAAAGTAATTAGTAAGAATAAGGTATTCTCTAACTATCTAGAGAAGATTATATTTAATAAGCTAGTTAAGACGGCTATAAGCCTTATAAACACTAAGAAAAATATTAAGAAGTTCTCTAATAATATAGAGACTATACTTAGTATAGAGGATATCGTTAGCTAACTAAGAGAGAGAAAGGCGAATAAGTCTTCTAAGGTTAAAATAGAAGTACTATCGAAGGTAAGCTATATAACTAAAGTACTCGATAAGAAGGTTAATAAATTAGCTAAAGTATTTTAAAAGATAGTTTTAAGTTTTAGTATATAATTAGGTTAATAATAGTTTAACCCGGCTAGAGGCCTAAATTAGAACGGCGTATATCTAACTTAGAATTAGAACTATAGACTACCTAGGTTATAGGCTCTATATCTAAATATATAGAGAATAAGTATAGTTAACGTTAATATAGCTAAGATTAGTTAGAGTAGCTATTATTAGTATTACTTAGCGATAGATTATATACGTAGAGAGTATATAGAGTTTAGAATAGATATTAAGAGAGAGCTAATATATAAATATAAAGATAAGGTATACCTTAGTAGGGCTAGAGATAGAGAAAAATAACTTTAGGTAGCTAGGGATAGAGCGAGAATAGATACTATTCGATAAATCTTCGCGGTTATTTAGTTCTTCTAGAATACTTAAAACTAGGAAAATATATAGAGGTAGGCCTAAGTAAGTAGCCTCTCGGCGGCCTAGGACTTACTAAGACCGACGAAGATTTTAAAGAACTCTAACTTAGAGAGGTCTATTAATTATAATAGAGACCTAACGTATAAGGCGAATATTAACTTGGTAGAAGTAATAGAACTAGATAATTCTAATCTAGAGAAAGATAAATTAGGGTTAGTCTCTATATATATAGTAGCTCGAAATAAAGAGGTCGATAAGAAGAAATAGAAGAACTTAAAGAAGGCGTTAAGAGATAGAGTTAATAAGGAAAAGAAGCTAGCGGCTCTAAAGATCTCTAGAATTAGTAATCTATACGTTTTAAGAGTAGAAGAGGTAGATAAGAAAAAGAAAGTAGAGAAAATAGAGCTAGATAAAGAATAAACTAAGTAAATACTTAAGTTAGAGCTATAAATAGTACGAAAAATAGAGAGGTATTTAGATATTCTTAAGAAAGAGGCTACGCCTCTAGATTTACTAAATAAGATCTTAAACGCCCTAGTTTAAAAAATAACTACTAAAGAGGTTTTAGCTAATTCGGATATTTTATAAAAGCTATTATTTAAAAATATACTTATAGTAATACTAAAGGAAAAGGTAATAAAGAGCGATAAAGCTAATATAAGTATAATTAAAGAAGTAACTATAAGGTCTATCTTTATCGAGAAGGTACCTAGACCTTATACTATTAAAGTACTAAGAGTTAGAGTTAGGATCGGGAATATTAAGGTACTCGCCTTACTCGATACTAGTTCTAATATTAATATTTTATCTAGCTATATCTCTAAGATAGCCGGTCTTATAATACGTTCTAATCTAATACTTAGAACAGTTAGTTATATTAGTAAGAGGGTAAGATTTAGTAGGGTTTATAAAGACGTTACTATTTAAATAAGCTTAGTTAACGTTATATAATACTTATTTACCTTAAAGGATAGAACAAATAATTTTATTCTAGAAATACCTTTTATTATTTTAGCTCTTATATTCTTCTCTTATAGAGATAGCTACTAGTTTACTACTATTATAAACGACGAACGTACTAAGTAGGTTTCTCTTAGAGTAGTAAAGATAATTAATAAGATTAAAGAGAATTGTATTTTCCCGGGAAAAGATTAGTTAGGCCTATTAGGACAAATAGATATAGTAATAAAGTAGTCTATATTAGGTCGTTAAGGGTAGTAGAATTTTAGGACCCTAGGGCGGCCGAGGTATTATTAGAAGGCGATTATATAGAGAGTTTTAAGCCTACTATTAATAGAAGTAGTTCTTTTATTTTAATATTATATAAAACTAATTTAATCTCGTTATTATAAGCTAGTACTATCTTTTCTTTTATTAGAAGAGTAGAAGTTTTTAGTATATATAAAAAGAAGATAGATAAAGTAGTTCTAGTTATTTAAGAGGTATCTAATAGATCTATACCTAGAGGAAGAAGCGATTAGAAGTAGTAGAGAATAGAGAAGAAAGAGAATAGAGAACTAGTAGAACTAGTAAATAAGTATAATAGGTTTCTTATTCTAAAGTTCTCGGATATTCTTAGGGGGTTAAGACTAACGTCCGAGCGAATAAAGAAGATATTACTTAGAGAAGAGCTATTACTAAG